CATTTGTGACGATAAGTAACATATAATAGGTCTTGCGCATCCTTTTCGGTGACTTCCTCGAAACAGGGTTCTTCAAATTAAAAAAATGTGGATATGCAAAGTTTAACTCCGACATCAGTTTGAGAGAGATTTTTGAAATATTTTCGATCTGTATTTTCAATAGGACTGCGGAATAAGCTTTTGTGCTGAACCATTTCAGCTTCAACCTTGTGTTGCTTTGTTTTATGTAATTTCGCGAAGAAATTGAAAAATGGACGACTAAGGCTTATTTGCGAAATATAAACAAATACTTATTGATTGAATTGTTTTCTGAGTTATAATTATTTGTTTATTAATTTGAATTTGAAGTAATATCTTCAAAATTACTATAGACTATTATGTAAAACAAACAAACAAATAGATTTCAAATTAATGAAGTTAATCTATTATTATTTTTATTATTATTATTATTATTATTATTATTATTATTGTTATTATGATTAACTTATACTGGCATTCATTTATATATTTTGTTAAAAAAAAATAAAAAAAAAAAAACAAAAAAAGGAAAAAAGAAAAATGAATATAAACCAGAGTAAAGAACACTTTTAAAATGCCACAAATTGCAAAAGGATATAATAATAAAATTGCGTTCAAGTGGGACTTGCACTCACACACTCAAGTATCCATGCATGGCTTACACAATTACTGAATACGCAGGCCTTTGAAGGTAAAAAAAAAAAAAAAATAACGAAAAATATATGAAAATTTCTTCTTGATGTTAAGTCAAATTTCGGATACCCATCAAATTACATTTGAAATATTTCTTAGTCACACATTCACATTTTACATTTTTATGCGAAAATTGAATTTCTAAATTCTAAATCTAAGGCTATGACTATTGTGTTGTATTGAAATTTTTGTGTTGAAAAAGTTGCATCTGGATTGCAGAAGAAAAAGATGGATAGAAATGCTGATTAGTTTATAAGTTTAACGAAAAGAAGGGTGTGTCTGTTTCGAAAAATTTACGCACATTAGATCCGCGTATCCGATGCCGTATGTAGTTAATAAAGTATTAAGCTCGCACACTGTCACATTGACATTGACATTCAGCGCTAGATTTATTTCTTTAGTTGCATTTTTCGGTTGTTACAAATTGAATAACAAATTCATTGGACTCTTTTGGGCGATGGATAGATGGATGAATGGATGGATGAATGGATGGATGAATGGATAGATGAATGGATGGCTGGATGGATGGATGGATAATAAAAAAAATACATATGAAACAAATTTATTCAGCTCTAATAGCGAACGTCAAACAACGAGAATAGATGATGATGTTGATGAGATGGACTAAATAAAACTCAAAAAAAAAAAAAAAAAAAAAAAAAAAAAAATACAAATAAAAAGAGAATTCACATATCCATACAGATATACACACGAACGCATATATACGTACGCATATATACGCACATACACATATCCACTTAAAAAAGAAGCAATAATTACGCACGGAATTGAATAGTAGTGCGCCATTATTCTCACACCAGCTTACACCAGCGATGGCAACGGTTTCGGGATTTAAATGCAGGGATGCATTTAGCATGTATTGCATTTTTTTAAAATTGTCATCAGGATTTGTATATGCGTTGGCAAACAGGATACTTGCACACGTACATTTATCTATATAGTAGATATTATATATATATATATATATATATATATATATTTATATATTGTTATGCATGTGTATGGGTCGTGGTACGGTCTACATTTACGAACATTGACAATTGGCAAACCAAACAAGGCAACAACAAATACATAGCTCTACAATGCAATGGACGACAACAGGCAACTGTTGTTGCGTTATTCATCATTTTATGCCATTGCATATGTACTTACCTAAATATATATACATATACACTCACGCAAGTAAACAATGATAGGAGAGACGGAATTAAAAAGTAAAAAACAGAAAAAATAACGATTGTACACACAATTCAAATATTAAAACTGCGTAAAAAAGTTGGTTGCATGTTCGGTTATCATTGTCGTCCATCAAATGTTTTTAAATGCGTCACTGCATCTGAATCTCAATCTGATGATGTTGTTGGTGATATTGCTGTTTACTGCTTACTTGCTAGCTATAGCTAGAGCTTATGATGATGATATGATGATGGCGACAGCGACGACGAGGACGACAATGATGATGATGGTGAACAAGTGTTGGCAAGTACTAATATTCCATTCGCATATGCCGGGATTATGTTCAATGGACATGTGTGCCTGCGTTTATGTGCCTTTAAAAAAAGAAAATAAAAAATAAAAAAAAAAAAAATAGATGAAAAAATGCAAAAAAAAAAAAAACAATTTGTTGTCAGCCACAACCAAAATCTCATCATGCGTAAATCTTCATCATGCGTTTTGGTTTGGTTTGTTTTAATTTTCTAGATTTTTTTTTCTTCTTTTTTTTATTTTTTTTTTTTTTTATTTTATTTTCATTTTTGCATTTAGAACGAACGCATTTTTGTAGAGTTTTGTTTTATTTGAAATGCACTCATGTTTTGAATTGTTATGTTGCGTTATTTGTACGTGCGTGTGTTTACGTGTGCACACACACACACACACACACACACACACATCCATACCGTATTATACACTTACATATAAGCATGTTGATGTATTACATATCAATTGTTTAGCTTATTTTCCAACCTCTACCTCTACACGTCTATCGTCATGATGCTGTTGTTGATGTTCAGAATGATGAGAGGCGATGTCTACTGGTTTGCTATCAGACAAGAGCTAAAACGGATTTCATTTCATTTCGTCGTCATATTAATGTTGATATTGTTGTTGAGTTTGGTTTAGTTTGCTAAAGTTTGTAGTTGAAGTGGTATTTTGTGCATAACCGATCCCTTTCTATTCTACATTTTATTCATTTACATACATATAGATATATGTATATAGATATGTATATGTAAACATATCGATATTCACCCACGAGTCCATTTTCACATACATTTAAAATGTTACTCTCATACTCATGCTACGTTATGCGTGCATTGTGTGCGTAAAGCTATAATCAAACGCATTTTTTTCTGTTTATTTTACATTTATTTATTTTACTTTTATTTATTTATTTTTTTTTTTTTTTCTAAATAAGACCATTGTTATGTCTGATGTGTTATATCTGTTTTATCCCTTTTTTAATTTTTGCGAAAAAATTGCTTTTTTTTTTCATTTTGGCTTTGATGAGAAACAACAATTTTTTTTTAGTAACAAAAACAAAAACAAATACTAATTAAACATATTTTATTTCTTTGTTATTGTTACTGATGATAACGTCCATCCATTATGGAGGAATGATTAACGTAAAACCATTGAGAGGCTATTTGTTAAAAGCTTATATACTTGTTAGATGTGATTAAATTGGAGGAATGGGTGAGTTATATGGGCATAAGTGTGATTGAAATGTATTTCTTATTATAATAACAATGGAAACTTTATTGCCTACTTTTACGCGAAATATCAAAAAAAAAACTTTGTTACTGGAATTTCGTAGCGAGAATTCCGATAATCTTGAAGAGAGGGTACATTTATAAGTCTGATAGATATTCATTGCCCGTACCATCATCTGCAAACGTAATGATACCCACTACCATTACCTTCATCCAAGGAGCTACTACTAAGCTTGCCTTGAATTTTTTTTTATTTTCAATTACTGTTAGTTTATTTGATATTCTTACACTTTATGTGGCGAATTATACTGACATATGAGATATTTATGCCATTTTATGGGCGTAACCCTGAAAATTTCTAAATACCGTTGTTTGAGTAAAAATTTGAAAAACAATCGCGTTTGTTTCGCTATTTAGAAAACTTACTAGAAAACTCCAACGTTGGTCAGATCAATTCAATTATTTCGCCTTAAGATTGCTACGCATTTTCGAAACATGCAGAATACGCAGGCAGTTGAGCACACTCAAGTCGTGTCTTACTTACCTGCAATAGGCAGATGGGATGAAGATATTTGTTAATCGATGCGTTTTTTTTTTTGCTTCTTCAACTTGACTGCATGCATAACTAATCGCATAAAGAATTTTTACAATATTTAAATGTGCATTTTACATACATACATATAATTGTTGAAAAGCTCAGAAATGTTAACTCCTTCGCGACGGCGCAGTAGTAAAATATTTTGTCACTTTTCACGACGGAGTACCTGCGAACTAATAGATAACTGCCGTATGCAAAAGGCGTCAGCCAATCATATCATGTACGGCAGCCATCGGTGCAAGTGTTCAATATCATATTTAAAATATGATCATATATAAATATCGTATAACTTGGCACTTGGGAATATTTATTAAATCTATTCGAGAGCTTAAGATGATGAGAACTTCGTTTTATTCAGTCGATGCTGGCGTTAGCATTCAAATTTTCTTAAGTTATTTCTTCTTTTGAATTTAAAGCGCACAGTAAACTGTGCAAATGACTTAATCTAATGCTCTCACGGATGATCGATGCACTAATCGTTCTTTCGCCTAAAATAATTTCTTGCGTGTGATGAAAATTACCAAAAAAATTTCTTGCATTTTATACGCGTCGTTTCCAATATTTACCAAATAGAGGGAGACTAATATCGTCACTAACGATTCTATTGCTTAGCTTTTCAGCACAGTTCTCTTACTGGGCATAATCGTCGTGTAACGAAAAAATCAAAAGATCTTTCACAAGGTTTTCTCTATTTACCTTATGCCGAAAACCATTGAAAGAAATTCCTTTACTAGAAGGACCTGATAAAGTGTTCTCTACTTTTTAAATAACGTACCCAACCAAACGTTTGGATAGTTATGGCCAAATAAATCACCTTAACTTGGAATGGTCCAATTTAATAAAGTTTGAGAGCATTGTTAGCAGCCAACTACAAAATATTGTTTTTAAATATATTCATAATTAATTTATTTATTTATTTTATTCACATCATTTTATTCTTCACATTTTTCTTATTTATACTAATTTTCTTTGGATTCCGTGACTTGTAATAAGACAAAAGAGTTTACGTTCTGTATACGATGAAGATAAGCAGCGTCTACCGAAGAGGGTTTAACTAACCGAATTTTATAAGCTCTTAAACGATTAGTATCGTTAAAGTTACCAACAGCGCGCATTAAACAGCCTGAAATTTTGTAAAAGCTTTCTATGCATAAAAGTTTTTTTTTTTGTTTTTTTTTTCGAAATAATTAAAAAAAAACAATTTACAAACCATTGGAAAAATCTTTCAAGCTATTATTGAAGTCGAAATAGACGCATTGCAGTACAGGACCTTTGCCATCGATATTACGCATTAACAATATGTACTCGAAACGTATTTTTCCTTTAGTATATCTTATCAGTTTTCCTAAAATATCAATTATGGATATTGAAATGTTTGAAAAAATGTTCAAAAATTTTTTACCATAAACATTCCACAAAGCATCTAAATTTTTATACAATTTACATGTTTTTATAAGAAAATCTACTCCACTTGTTAAGGCCACCATCTTACGTCCAGGTTGATTCATTGGATTCGTAATTTTCGCAATTTTATTATCATCTTGTTTTTCCACTTTCACGTTTGATTTGTTTGTCAATGCTCGACTGGTACTTGGTTGTTCTTCCCCACCGCATACTGTAGCATTTAAATTGCTATTGCTTCGAATATATTTGGCTTTGGGTAATGGCATTATGAAAAGTTCAGATTTAGTTTCGAATTGTTCGGCTGCTATAAATCCATCTTCGTGCTGCGAGCTTCTCTTCACCGACTTACGTATACCCAATTTAGTTTGCCTTAATACAGGCGCTTTCTTTTTGACGGCATTCTGAGCCGAATACAAGCTTTGATGAAGTAATTTTTCTCCAAGCGATTTATTATCGATCCCAAAACGCCCGTTAGAATTCTTCTCTCTTAATACTTGAGCTAAAGGTTTGCCTTTCCCACCTAAGTATATAAAATAAACGAAAAAAGAAAAAAAAAAGGAAAGAATTTTATCAAGTGTAATAAAAAAAAATGTAATTCTAAATTTACTATTCGCAAACATCTTAACGCTTGTTGCCCCATCAATATCGTCCAATTGAATGTTAAAACGTAAGTTAAACTTGAACAAGTATTCTGGTATTCCTTGTAACAAAGTAACGGTAATTAGATCAAATCTTTACTTGCAAAAAAATATTCAGCGATGGTCTGACAATTAATTCTCTACACGAAATTTATATTGGATCGTAAAGAAACTCTCACTTCTCTTGTATAAACTAAATGGAAGATGTAAAGTAATAATAATGGAATAAAAAGCAAAAATGGAAAGCGGACTGGATGTGGCCCAAGTTTAGTCCAAGTTTAGTTTTTTTTTTTTTTTGAATTTTCGCTAATTATAACTAAAAGCCAAATGGATAGAATCCGAATGAAGGATGGTTTCAGTGCAAGTTCTAGTGTCTGTTACATACATCCCTACGGACAGAATATGCTCATATGACAAGAGTTGCATTGTATGGTTTAAGGAAAAGAAGGAAAAAGCAAAGAAACGGAAAGGAATGGGAAGGACAACAAAAAAAAGACTATGAAATCAAAGGCAAATAAAGGAAAAGAAACGAAAAGAGAATAAAGCAAAAGAAAGAAAGAAACGGAAAATAAAAGAAAGGAAAGCAAAGGAAAACAAAGCAAAGACCAGTAAGTAAGAGAAAACTTACGGAGACAAAGAAAAGAAAAGAAATGGAAAGCAACGGTGTGGAAAGGAAACGAAACGAAACGAAAGTAAACGAAAGGAAAAGGAAGGAAGATATTCAGAGGTTTAGCTTTAATATTCGATAAGGCTGCAAAAATGTTTGGCAAAGAAAATCGTGTTGTAAACAACACTAATCAACTAATCAGCCTACGTGAACTTTTACAATGACCGGACATATGCTATAATTTATATCATTTTGAAAATAATTTTGTTGTTGTTGGTTTATTCTATAAAATATTGTACTTTACACAACTACTAAAAATGGGTTTTTTCTTGCGAAAGACAATAAACATTATTTCTTAACTGATTTTACGCAGACAGATACAACTAACGCACATAATCTTAGAAAGATTATGATCGTTAGTACGAATTCGTATTGAAAATACAAAATTTATTTAGTAAATTTTCATAAACTTTTAAAAGTTGTTAGCCAATAATAATATTAAATTACTTTCCACGAAATGAAGTTTTAAGAGCTGGGCAACAACACCTTTCTATCCGAATAGCAACTTTGATATTCTTCCGTAATAAACATATTTGGCAGCATCTATGTACCCGACATACTAGATGCTAGAGCAACATAAATCAATAAATATGCATTTCTTTATACATTCAGGCTTTACACTGAGAGATTATTTTTTCTTTATACATTTTGCGAAGAGAGCGACTTTTTGTTTTAACTTACATAGGAATAAAAAATGGAATATTTCTTTAAATTTGAAGAACTTTTATTAAATTCAACTATTTATATATATATATATATATATATTTATACGTTTTATCACTTACCGCATAAGGATATATTAAGTTTGTGCGGATGTATGCAACATCCAGAAGGACTTGAAATAAACTCACTTTTATTACATGGTTTGTCCGTCCGTCCATTTTGTTTTCTTGTGTTCAACGTATAGGTCTCAATTTTCGAAATATTTTGATATATTGATATGTTTTAGCCCAAGGACAAACACTATCCCAAAGACTTCGAATTAAGCGAAGTGAGAAAGGATATTTGATGATCGGTCGTGCCGCGCTATAATTTTCTTTTCTTGTCGTAAATTACAAAATAATTTTGTATTATTATACCACGATGTGCCTTACAATCTCACAGCCAGAAAGGAAGCCTTTATCTTGGATAGGAAGCACCCATTCAAACCTAGACTTGTGACAAACGTACGTTGAGCAAATGTGAATAACATTTTAGATCCACAACCGCAATGCCACGTTTTATAATCGCCTTACCAGGCTTGAACTAAGACAAAGTTTGCGCGAAACTGTCTGTCTAATGTAAACAGTCGCATGGCCGTCAAAATGAAGCTATTAACTTGAAAAAACCATTGAAATTTCTTGCACGAAAATTGTTGTCAAAGATGGATCAAATCGGTCGAAGGGTACGCCTGCCGTGCAAAATAAACTTAGAACACCACAGCTTCTTATTTATAAATTACCGAAGACACATGATAAAAAGTTCCACGTATATGGTATAAAAATGGTAATGGTTAGCCGCATCGCTCCAATATTATGGAGTAGGAAAATATAGTTCTTGGATTCCAAAGCCAAAAACAGGAATGACTCGTGTATATTGTTTTACGTTTATGTACAACTTGTTTGGATAAATGTAAACAACTTCTTGTTGTTCCAAGAAATGGTTCATTTTTCGGACTATGAGTCTGTGAGGCTCATCGCGATAGGGTTCGTTATAAAAACAAGTTCACGGATTATTGTTAAAGAGCGATAATAACAACGAAGATTATTATTATTTTTTTTTTATGAGAGAGTAAGAGTTTTTTATTCCCAAATGCTTCAATGCCAGAAAGCTTTCTGGCAAGAACCTGCTTAGCATTAAGTACGTATTCTATATTGGACTCTGTTTTGTCGCCCCATGTCTCATTTCATCGTCTCACTAGAGATTATTTTTCATTTTCATTCAACTCATTGCGCTCTTTTTGTTCATTTGTTGTTAACGCTCCTCGGTGATCGAAACTCCTTCAAATTACGTAACTTAAAACTATTGATGGGAAAATTATTTTCGTTAGATTTGTGTTTTTATTTGCAGTCAACTTTCAATGTTAAGACTTTCCTTTAATAGGAGCTTACGTAAAATTGCAAACTTTTTCTTTCATATTCTTCGTTCACATTGATTTTAAAATTATTTTCGAGTGTATGCTATTATATGCACACATATATACACATACATATATGTATATCGTTACAGGCATATGAATGGTGTGGCTCCAATAATGATAACTAATCTATGTGCGTTGCGTTGTGAATTTTTTTTTTTTGAGAATGTCTTTTTATGCTTCTTATTATATGGTCAACAGATTTCGTCTGTCTGTCCTCTGGTCGTTCATTTATTTATTCATTTGTCGATCCCTCTCTGCATTGAAAACTGATGAATATGGCATTTGGCTTTGACTTTGAGGCATGACTTTGGCCACTCTCGACGACATTACATCACGAAAAACAACGCAACAAAACACGGCACTATATCAGACATCACCGGCAAAGAGACACTGATGCAACGTACAATTGCAGCATAAATTGTCGTCCAAAGAATAAAAAAAAATAAAAAAAAATAAAAAATGAAAAAAAAAAATGAGAAAAAAAAAAAAAAATGAAAAAGAAAAATGTCATAAATAAATTGCTAAAACAGTGGTAGTCACATCATATGCAATTGTTTACACAAACATTGCATTAGCAATAGTTTGTAATTGCTTAAGTATGTATATATATGTATGTAAACGTTTGTGTATATATATATATATATATATATATATATATATATGTGTGTGTGTGTGTGTGTCCGTTTATGTATTCGTTTATAGTATTTGCAACATTTTTAGCCGCTAAATAAAATGCCATAAATGATCGACTTGATTTTAGTTTGTGGCCCCATACAAATGTATTCTTCTCAGCAGATCTTTCCAATGGCTGTTTGTCTATCTGTCTGTCCACTTTCCACACACACACACAGACACACTTTGTTTTAATATGTTTTCGTCTACATAGAATGGTGACATGTACAAAAAAATGTGCATTTGAGAATTTCAAATGCTTTTCTCGGTAAATTAACTAAAAATGCTGAAAACGCTCCGTTTTTTCTACCATCTCTACAACTTTTTTTTTTTTTTTTTTGCTTTTCGCTTATGTTTTCTTCAACTTACTGTTTTTGTTGCAAGTGTTTGTTTGTCCACTGGTGTCGAATGGTGTCGATAAACTCTTAGCCATTGTTATTATTCTTGCTATTGGCCATTGCCGTGCTACGTTCTTCGCCTATGTGACAACTATTTGTCTGTAAATCAACAACTGGAACAGAGACAAAACAACACAAAAAAAAAAAAAAAAAAAAAAAAAAAAT